CCCCCATATAAACGAATAATCCTATTAGCCCACGTCAGCCATAGGGAATGTGCTAACTTGCCTGGATCTTTGTAAGCTATAGCTAATATTTATCCCGAAAACCTATTACTAGCTATGTTACCTACAATATATCTATCGATCAGAGAACTAGCATTGCCGAAAATATTAAAGGCGAGAAAAGAATCAAAATGTTCGAGATTACGGGAATTAAAGCTTCCACAACTAAATACTGAAGCATTAAGTTTGTACGAGTTAATTCACTGGGCGACAGAAAAGGTGACTGAACCACCTATGCATAGGTGGTTCAGTCACGACTATAGTATATATGAAATACGATGGCAGAAATTACCAATATGATTTCTTCAGGTGACCATTTCCTATCCCACTGAACATTATGGATGTGGTGATGTCACAGTGACGTTTAAAAATTGTCAATTTTAAGGCACATTAACTACGTTCTTTAGTGATGTTCAATTTACGTAAAAATTACGCTAAAAAATAAAAGGTGCTGTCGAGCACGTCACTATACCGTCCAGTCTATGACTTTTATTTTACTTTAGCGTATTAGGTGCAAAACACAACGTACATTTTACGTCACCAATGTGACACATGATAAATATGAATGTGATAGGTTTGCCAATGATGAACATTAAAATATATGCCACATTTACATTTTTGTTGGAAATTTGAGTGTATACTTAGAAAATTAAATACCAAATTTAATTCATAATTTTAGATTAAACCCAAGGTAGGTACTTACTTAGAAACCAATGTAAGTAGGTACAATTATTATTTTAATGACTTAATATAAATCCCAGAGTGATTTATTAATTAATATTACCGCTTATAAAATAATAATTATTCTCGCATAGTGAGATTAAGAAACGTATATTTTATGTAAAATTTACGTAAAAAAGGACTCGGGTAATTTCGTTTCCAGTCGATATATCGGTATAAAAGGGGCCCTGTAACAGGGCATACTCTGTTTGCGTTGCGACTGCCATTGTTCTGTGTTCAACACAGTGTGTTGCCATTTGTTGCTGTGTGATAGAAAACGCATTGTTCTCCATAGGCGAGACTGAACGGTTTAGGCATATACCTATAACTTATAGGTATATGGGTTTAGGTAAGTTGGCTTTATTATTTGTTTGCAACCATACAGTTATAATATAATTAATTAATTGTCCCAATATCGCCATGATGGAGCTATTAGTGGTTATCGAATTTTGTTGATTTAAATGTTAGCGTTGAGTGAGAAGTAATATTAATCAATGCTGTTAGACTTAAAGAAAAGTCTTTTAATCAATTTGATTTTTCAGTTAATACACCAGTGAACATGGGAGACAAATTTTGCGCCGAGCGACAAAGTTATATAAGTTTTATATACTTAATTACTTAGATAACTTAAGTTATTAATGTTTGTTTTAGAAGCCAGTATGAAATTATTTCGTCTGACTGAAAGTGATTTCGATAAAGAGAGCAAGGAGTTGTTCCAAACCGCCAAGCAACGCTCATAACGTTTTTTGGCCAAATTTGGACATGAGAATGAGACCGAAAATTAATTAGGCGGTATGTTTTATTTTTATTATTTTTATCAGACCATGTTTTATTTTTATTATTTATTTTAATAAAAAAAAATATATATTTCCAAAGTGGTAGTTTTATTTAAAAAAACGTAACTATTACGTACAAGTGGAAACAAAACCTATACGTCCATATTAAAATGGCATTTTTACGTCCTTTTAAAAACGTAATTTTTACGTCTCCTTATCCACGTAACGGTTAGGGCTAATTCACGGCCCAGGATCCGGACATAGGCACATCACAGCGACGTTTATGTGACGTTTATTTTACAAGATTCTTATACGTCACACTACAACCTTTGACGTTAATTTTACATATATTTTACGTTTTTTTGCTCAGTGGGATACTTCCAAAAATTTCCGTGTCACACCCAAGCAGTGGAACGCTGTGTAAAACTGGTTATAACCAGTATACTAAATCTTCAGTCTCGGTTTCTGGATCGGAAGCAAGAGATGGTTTTATCAGAACAAGAATTAAAGTCAGAAAATAATTACCAAATTTTGATACCAAATGTCAGTATACTGACATATATTTTTGCGAAAAAGAAGATCTCATTTCTACCAATAAACACTCCTGAAGTTACTTAAAGCATATGATTTACTATTAAATATGTTTACGTTTCACGTTAATTTTACTAAAATAAACTTTTTATTTATAAATAATGCTATTTTTATTACTTTGATTGAAGTAATATTTTTTTAGAATTTTCAAAACTTCGAGACTGATGCGCCACCTCAAGATATTAAAAAATTGGAATATTTTTTCGATATTTATTCATTTTACGCCATTAGTCAACAATTAATAATATAGGAAAAATCAATTAATAAATTTAATAAAATTCACTCCACCCTAGTGTGGATTACAAAAAAGATGGACCCAGTCAAGAATGGGAAGAATTAAAACCAAAAATGCCATATGGACAGTTGCCAATATTGGAGATTGAAGGAAAACTGGCATTTCAAAGCACTGCAATAATAAGATTTTTAGCCAAAAAAGTGAAACTCACTGGCGAAAACGAATGGGAAGATTTAGTGATTGATGCTACACATGATACTGTAAATGATTTCTTTGAAAAAGTTGTCAAGTATATCTACGAACCAAATCCTGAAATTAAGGAAAAACTCAGAGGACCTCTACTTAGTGAAACAGTTCCGTATTACTTAAAAAAATTTGATGAAGCAGCCAATAATACTGGGGGGTACTTAGCACTTAATCGATTGACTTGGGCTGATATTTTCTATGTTAGTCAAATAGATTATATGAATATTATGGCACAAATTGATATCGTGGCTGATTACCCCAACTTGCAGAAAGTTAAGGAAAATGTTTTGAGTGTGCCAAGCATTAAGGCATGGGTTGCAAAACGTCCAAAAACCGAAGTTTAGGTTTTAATTAATTATTATAATATATTGTTATTGTTACTTTGGTGAATATCATTTTTTCCAAAATAAATTAGATTTAAAGCAATAATTTGTTTTATTTATAGATTTAATAGTAGATATATTATGTATCAAGTTTGATAAACACCATTTTAGTCAAGAATTTAATTTAGGCTCCAGCAAACTTGCGAGCGAGTGTGTGTCTAGAAAAGTTGCATAAGTACTATACTTTTTCTACGACAAATACTTATTATTATTATGTAATTAATGTTATATATTAAAATGGGTTGTTCCTTAGGGTCCATAAAGAAGCACCTGAAATTTTTTTTTTCTAAATTCCAAAGTCTAAAAATAATTTATAATAACCTTTATCCTACCAAAAAGTACGCCACTGATCGACTAGGAACTTTTGGTTAATCTGGTGGATTTATTATGTTATGGATGGTAACAACAGTGTTTCCAAAATCTCTCAAAAAAGTTGACAAAGTTTGTTTAAATTTAAATGACAAAATTAACAATGCAAATTGTCAATTTGGCGTTTTTATTAATTGTTGGTTATGTCATTTTTGTACTGAAGGTAAATTCAAACAAAATCTGCCAACTTTTATGACAGAATCTATATAGGTAGTGCATTTCTTTTAAATTTTAGGTTATGTTTTCAAATTGTAAATATCTTAACTAAGGGAAGTGTTTTTGGATTTATTTACACAAATTAAATGTTTAAAGTTTAACCTGTGAACTGGTCCCAATTTCATCTGAGTAAACAGAGAAAAAAACTGATGAAAAAATTAATTTTCTGGTTATGGATTTCAAATTTCAAAGGTAGGTACTAAATTTTCTAATCATTGCTTAAGCTAATAGCTGGATCAGTAAATAAATACAGAAGGGTATTAGAGCTTTAAGGGCATAAAACTTTTGTATTTATTGAGTTTTTATTTATTTTTTGCAAGAAAAATTTTAGTAACAATTTTTTACATCTGGCAACGCATAGCTACTTTGTTGGTTGGTATCTATGTACTCACAAAATACAAGTGTGCAGAGATAAACCAAGTGTGTAACCAGTGGCGTATCACAAAAAATATAAAAAACTTCTAATGCATATTTTTTCTTTATCTTTGGAAAAATGTTTTTTTAAATATTATTCCTTTATTCCTTATGTCAAAAGGTATTCAGTATTTTAATATATAACATTAATTACATAACACCCTGTATATTAATACTTTATATTATTATATTGTATCTGAAAATTTAAATTAAAGGTTTTATAGAGCGCCATCTATACGAAAATAAAGTAACCATCCCAATAAACATTTTTCCAATCCTTGAGTCTTCTGCAGGCAGATAATATCTGCCTGCAGAAGACTCATTGATTGTTAGGGGAATATTCCTTGATATAATTTGGGGATTATTCCCAGCCCTTATTGCCTCTTATACCCAGGAACTTAACTTAAGTATAGCCATTATTGAGTTACTGAGTAGATAAGTCCCACTCTAATCATTGTTTGGCTGTGCCATCACAGACGCACATCTCCAACTAATATTATTAAACTATCGGTATATATATATATATATATTATATGGAATATTCTTTTTATGATGCCTGGGTTAACCAAAAAGCAGACATTTGATTATGCCAGGAATATTCCTGGGAATATTCTGGGACGATGAATATTCCTGGGAATATTCCTGACATGTGCAGGGAATGTGATTTTGCGGTCTATTATAATAATATATTAAGTTATAGGTATATGACTATAGGACATTTTTACATCACTATATAGATAGGGATTTATTTTTTAATCATCTGGCAACACTGCTTTAAATACATATTAATAAAGTACACGGTAGGACATTTATTTGTAATAATATATTTAGGCACATATTGTAAATAAATAAAACAAAATGTTTTAAGATTCAATTAAATCCCCTTAGGAATTTTACTAGAAATTATAAAGTTATAAAAGTAATTAAATCAATTATAATTAATTTTAGAACTTATTATTATTGTATATCTTTTGTTTTACTTTGCACAAACAACCTTGTCTCTGCAAACAACTGCCGGTCAGTGACGCATCACATTTTAGCATGTTTACGTGATATAGGACGTATTTGTCATTTTTTAACTTGTTGAGTTGTCAGTGGAGCATTTCCTTTTGATTGGGCCTATTAATCGAATAATTATTCAATAAAACCGATAACAAACCTTTTAAGGCTATAAATACATCGCGCCGTTTCAAGACGAACCAGTGTGCAGCGAACTCTTGCAGTATTTGTCAAAAATGGCGTACAAGGTCTCGTATTTCGACATCACCGCTTTAGGAGAACCTTTGAGGTTTCTTTGTAGTTATGGTAATTTGGACTGGGAAGATTTCCGTGTGGGATACACACCCGGCGTACCCAGCCAACAATGGCTGGAATTGAAACCAAAAATGCCTTACGGGCAAATGCCAATTTTGGAGCATGAAGGTAAAGTGGCTCATCAAAGCGTGGCTATTTCAAGATTCTTGGCCAAAAAAGTTAAACTCGTTGGTAAAGATGACTGGGAAGATTTAATAATTGATAGCACAGTTGATACAGTAAATGATTTTCGTGCTAAAATTGGCAAATACCACTACGAGACAGATGCAGCCGTTAAAGAAACCATCAAAGGGCCCTTGTTCACAGAACAAATCCCTTACTACTTGAAAAAACTGGATGAAGCAGCTAAAACTAATGGAGGATTTTTGGCCATCAACCGACTAACTTGGGCTGATCTCTTCTTTGTAAGTCTATGGGACTACTTAAATGGAATGGCTCAAATTGATTTGTTTTCTGATTACCCAAACTTGCAAAAGGTTAAGGAGAACGTTTTTGCTGTGCAAAATATCAAGACTTGGATAGAAAAACGCCCAAAAACCATAATTTAAATTTAATTGTTCTGCAAAAAATTTTATTATTGTTTTGTTGAGTGAAAATATATTAAACATATATTAATCAATGATTGTATTGTAATTTTGTCAAGGTTGTTTTAAATACACCCATTTTTTTACAAAAAAATCGTTTTAATAATTTTATATTCTTCACTGTATTTATGGAGCAAACATGCAAAAGCCATAAATAAATCCATTTTAACTTATTCTGAGGTATTGGCCAAAAATGTGTGCTGTCGAGTCCCCCAAATATTTATAAAAAGGGAATGCTGCTCCTGTTGGGTTGTCTGTTTTGGTTTATCCATAAAATGATGTGCCAATTCAAAAGACTTTACCAAAATTAGTAAAAATCGGTAGCACAGTCTTAAAATGTAGAAATGGATTTATCGGTTTTTGTATGTTTGCTCCACATTTTTTATCAGCCATCACTTCGTAATATTAACAATATTTTATTTATATAATTTATCAAAAACTTTAAAAATCAATTGGGAATTGAACCCAAGCCTCCCTGGGGAGATTATTGCAGAATCATATAAGAAGAAAAATCGAACAAAATTGATTTTTTTCATGAACTTACTTACATACCTCACAGTGGTAAGTATAGAGATGCGACTTGAAAAAAAACGGTCCGTTTTTTTTGTTTTTTTTCAGGTTTTTTTTCATTGTTTTTTTTCAAATGGTTTTTTTTTCACACTTAAGTTTTTTTTTCAAGATTAGTCCCGTTTGCCTAATTTTTTATGTTTCCAGTCCAGTTCATGGACTAAAATTTTCCTCTAAATGACAATTGGTAAATGCTATGCACCACTACCGAATTCGCGGCTTGTTTTGATTTGGTCCTACATATAATATTTTTGATTCAGCGTTTGATTTTTCAAAAAGCGCGCACTTTTTTCATGATTTAAAAAAAACAATAGCAAATTCTTGTAGAACATTTATTCATTGGTGCTTAAGTCAGAACATTCCGTGGACCAGAAAGCCAAAAAAAATCTATTTTTTTTATTACGGTATTTGTTAGGATTGAGCATTGCACATTTTTCATTTAAAATTCTCAAAACTAGAAACGTCAAGCTTCATTTTTTTTTTCGGTCAAAATTTTAAATATTGAAAAATTTAATATATTCTACATTTCACTTTATTATTAATACCTAATTAGGTATATTAATATACATTTTACTCAAAATTTCATTTTGAAAAAAAAACAAAAACACATCTGAAAAAAACCGTTTTTTTACATCTCTAGGTAAGTATCATATACATACACTCACCGGCACGAAAAACGGAGCAGTTAAACTTTTTTAAACAAATTAAAATTTTAACGATTCGCAATGTTTTATTACTATAATATCTTAAATACAAACAAAACAACATGTTTTAAAGAAATTTATAACAAAAAATAAAAGATTATTTAAAAAGAAAAATTATTTTGTTACAACTTAAAAAACTAGGACGAAAAAACACAAAATGGTGCTGTCGCAAAATGATGTTAAATTAGTAAAAACTGAAAACATATGCTAGCAAAAACTGGAGATCATCATAATTAATAACGGGTGTTGCCTCCACGTGGAGGCAACACCCGTTATTAAGTCACGTACGTGACTGAATTATAGCTCGTATTCTCCTTGGCATGCCTAAAATTAAATGGCGAATGTCCTCTTAAGGAATAAGTTCCCATTCCTCTAAAAGAGCTTGTTCCAACTATGTAGACCCATGCTTAAACAATTTTTGCAAAAAAATACAGTTAAAAAACCATATCGTGTGGCAGTGTAAATATTTAAAATACATCATTGACTACTCAAACGTAATTTTACATTTTAAATTATCATTTTGTATTCGTTTACTCGCATCTACTAGGTATAAACGCATACGGCAGTGTAGTAGCTCAAATATGAAAAACTTCCCTTCTACATGTCGGGCCCACTCTAAATTTTTTTTTTATTCAAAGGTAACATAATAAACTTCGATTTTATGCTATTTTAAACATAATTAAAAAATACACATTGTTTCAAAATATGCAAATTTTTGCAAAATTTAAAAAAAAAATTGCAATTTTTTTTGTTTGCAAAAACGGTATAGCCCATTGAAAAGTACAGGAAAAATCATTTAAGGTGGTTAAATTGAAATATTTAATAAAGAGATGAACAGAAGTTATGAATTTTTAAATAAAAAGCGATTTCACCGAAAAGTAAAAAATCGATAAATTTCAATAAACCATAACTCTTGAATGAACAATCCTAGAGCAAAAAAATTGTATTCTATGATTCTTCGTTATAAGAACAACAAATAAGTAAAGTTTAAACAAAATCGGTGACAACAATTTTTTCACCTGGTACACTTGGCAAATTTTGCCCCATATGCATTTAAGATTACAGCCATAAATCAAACCCAAATAAACATAAGCTTAAAAAATACAAGAACATCACAGAAGATAAGAAGAACGACCCTCTCAATAATAATAATAATAATCTTTATTCATGTTAATATGTACAGTTACATTTACACAAGTCAAGGAAAAGATACAAATAAAATTTTTTTTATATGTTAAAAGAAATTATACAATACAAAAATTTAAAATTTAAGGTAGGACATATACATCAAATATTTGATCATAGATCTAAAATAATAACATTATGCAGGGAAAAAAACAAGTAATAATTTTAATATTAAAATTTACAAAGACAGGTCACATGTTAAAAATTCGTTTAAACAATAAAACGCTTTAGTCAGTAAAAGTTTCTTAAGACGTGCTTTAAATTGTTTTAGGGGTAACTTTTTTATTTCATTCGGAAGTCTATTATAGAAATTAGGAGCAAAGTAATTTGACGCATCCCTAGATCTATTTATCCTATGGAATTCAATATGGATATTATTCCTTCCTATTGATAATGGTGTATGTTGTTTTGTGTAGTATAAATATTGTAGCGAGTACCGCTCTGGATATCGGAGTGATGACTCATCGCCGGTTAGTCATCGCCGGTGAGTCATCGCCGGTGACTCAGCGCTCGAATAATCGAGAGTGTGGAGCTCGCTGGAATGTTCCAGAAGACCTTGGCGCTGAATATATAAGAAACGGAGCAGCACACGGCAGTCAGTTAAGATTTGGTACTCGCGGCGAAATAAATAAATATAAGTGCAAATAAATAGACTCTTGAACAATAGTGATATATAAATAATTAGTAGTTAAGTGTTTAGTTAGTTTTATAGTGTTTTAAGTGTAGTTAAGTTATTAAATAAATAGTTTAGTTCGTTAATTAACCAGTGCGTGTTTTAATTCACACTACGAACAGTAAAAAAACGTTACATTGGTGTCAGAAGTGGGATTAGTGTGAAAGTTCGCGAAAATGGTTTCGTTAATGGACTTAAAAGTGTCGGACCTTAAGCGGGAGCTAGAAGAAAGAGAATGTGAGACAACTGGAAAAAAGAATGTGTTGCAGCAGCGGCTTCGAGAAGCGTTGGCACAGGAAGGTGAAAATCCAGATGAGTATTTATTTGAAGGCCCGTGTGATATGCATTTAATGTTGCAAAATTTAAAGGATGATTTGCAACAGAAAATGGTGGAAAATTCTAGCGATTTGAAAATCGATTTACAACAGAAGATTCTGGAAAATGTCAACGAATTAAAGGACGATTTGCAACAGAAAATGCTGGAAAATTCTAACGATTTACAACAGAAAATTTTGGACAATTCTAACGAGTTTCAACAGAAAATGCTAGAAAATTCTAAAAACCTAAAAGAATATTTGGAAGGGAAGATTCTAGATAATGTCAATGAATTAGAAGAGAAAGTAGGACAGAAAGTTGACGATGTAAGGATGGAATTAAATAACGTAAGGATGGAATTGAATGACGTAAGGATGGAATTGGATGATAAATTGGAAGTAAAAATTAAAGAAATAAATAGTAAACTGACAGCTGTAAATCTACCTATGATGCTGGCGGAACCAGGAACAATGCCAGAGGGAAGTCGAGTACGGATGAAACCACCTCAGTTCGATGGAAAAACTTCTTGGACCAACTACATCCGTCAGTTTGAGGCCGCAGCAAAAGCAAATGGCTGGCTACCAGAAGAAAAAGCTACAGCATTGACTCTTGCTTTACGCGGAGATGCAACCGACATCTTGCAGACACTTTCTCCCAACGAACAAGAAGATTACGAAGCGTTGGTGAAACATCTAGAACTTCGATATGGCCAGACACATCTGGAACATGTGTACCATTCCCAACTGAAGAATCGCTGCCAGAAATCAAACGAGACTTTACAAGAATTCGAGGCTGATATTGCACGCTTGGTTCGGCTAGCATATCCAGCTACTCCA